CATACGTGGCGGGTGATGATTGGAGGAGAAAGAAAAAAAGAACAAAAGAAAAAAAAAAAAACTGGCCAATGGAAAGGAAAGGGGTCAAGGGGAGTGGGAAGGAAGGGGGGTTTGAAACATTTTTCAATTAAAAAAGGCCATTGTTGATCAGAGCTTTTATAGATATCTATGGGTACTTTTTGAAAGTTGTTTTGGAAGATTTCTTTCTCTCTCAATTTACTTGATGGGTTAGGTTTTTCGTCAACTCTTCTTCTGTGGTGGTAATATATCATAATCTGTGCTCTTTCTTAGATTCTCTTCCAGAAAAATTTGGTGTTGGAGATGTGTAAAATTTCTCTGTGATGTGTCCAAAAAAATTTGGTGTTGGTGATATGTCCAGAGAAATTTGAAATTTTCTCTGTGTTTTGTCCAGAAAAATTCTCTGAATCGAATTTTCTCTGGATTGATATTAAGTGACCTTAGATATTATAAAAATATTGAGTGTCCTTTATGTTATAAAATCTTAATATCAAGAAACTTAAAAAAAAATCACCATATAAATTTATATCAAAAAATAAATATTATATTGAAACTCATTATACGGCCAAAGGTAAGTCCCTAAACAAAACATATTCTATCAAGTACATCAAATTAGAACAGAATTGGGCCAATGAAACAAAAACAAGTGTAACGTTTCAGGGGGACTTTATTTACACCCAATAAATTATTAAGTACTCTTAATTTTTAAGTACACCTTGTTTAATTATTTAAAATTTTATTTTACTCTTATTGCACCCTATTATTTTTCTCAAATTACCCTCAAGGTAAACCCAAATAATAAATAATAAACAAATTAAAAAAACTAAATTATTTCAAATGTTTTCAATACAGAAAATAATTCTCAAATATATATATATAAACCAAACTTATAATCACATAAACATTATAAATATAGGGGGAGGGGGGAAACCAAACTTTTACATAAACATTATAAAACTTTTTAATACAGAAAAAAAAAACTTTTACATTATAAATTATCTACAAGAATGCTCGCGGAAAAATAAAAACCAAACTTATAAGCACATAAACATTTGTCACTAACAAGAAAAAGTAATTTTCAAATAATGTACTATTTAAATAACAAAATAAGAATAACTCCAATAATATGTTATTGTTAATTTAATTACTAGGTCCTTTAATTTTTGTCAAAAAATGAAATAAAAAATAATTGATGGTACTCTACAAAAATTATGAAACCCCTTTATATGAATACTTACATTTTTTTTTTATGGGTTGCTTCAAAAAACTATTTTTAGTATTACTCTCATTCATTATTTGATTTTGTTCAAACTTTTTTCAAGGGTTTGGGGTTTCAAAATAATAAAAAATAATGATATTGATGATAATAGTGAGTTTTGGTAGCATGGATTGGCGTTTTGAAGGGAGGAAGAAGAAGAAGAAAAAAAAAATAACTTCAATCTATTCGGGAAGAAGATACAGAAATTTGAATAAGAATAACTTATTAGGATGTACTATAAAAAGAAAAAAAAATATTTTAAAGTTTAATATGTGTTATCCTTATCACTAAATTCATATTAAATTATAATAGAAATTAAAATTTATAAATTTAAATTATATGTACTGAAATATATTTTAGATTCAAATAGAATCCCCCAACGTTTAATAGTTTCTTACAAACCTCCTATTACCCAAATATGGCCTACAGTTTGTGAAAATCCGACCCTGATTTTTGCAAAAAGCGACCTACAGTTTTGTGAAAACCAATCCACAGCTTTGTGAAAAACCAACACAGGGTTTTTGCAAAAAAGCCTTTCACTAATCTTATAAGCCCACACTTTTGCAAAAGCCTTTCACTAATCTTATAAGCCCACACTTTTAAGTCCATGAGTAGAGTTTAGGTTTCAGGATGGGTTGACCCAAGCCTTACCTATTGATCAGTCAAAATTTATGAGCCTATGCCTTAAGTTTTAGGTTATGTTTGGAACTAAATATTTTAATTTAAAAATTAAAAAGTTATTATAAATTGTTAAATTATTTTTTTTTTTATTTTTACATGCTTTTTTTTAAAAAGAAATTAAAAAATTACTACCAAAATTAATTCTCAAATAAGCTCTTAGTGTTGGATAGACTTGGCTCATTACTAAGGCCGAGTCAAAAAGGAAAAAAATGTATGAGACTAAATGAAAAGTTGATATAATTTATTTATATTTTACCTACATTTTTCCTTTACCTTTTTTAATCTCTCCTTAAATCATTGAAGCAAACATAACCTTAGAGGGACGGTATTTTAGTAAATATGAACTTAAATATTTTCATCAACTTCCATAACCGTTCCTAGGACAAGATCCAAGTGGCCTACCGGAATAACCGTTTCGCGCGCCCTCGCCCTAAATCATTGAAGCAAACATAACCCTAGAGGGAGGGTATTTTAGTAAATATGAACTTAAATATTTTCATCAACTTCCATAATCGTTCCTAGGACAAGATTCAAGTGGCCTACCGAAATAACCGTTTCGCGTGCCCTCGGGTCCTTCAATTCCCTTACAGTTTCTTCACAGGTAAAAAAAAAAAAAAAAAAAAAAAAACCCAACAAATTACTTTCACAATTACAATTTCAAATCAAACAACATAGAAAATCAAATCATCAATTTTATTAAATCTCTTAAACCCACCTCGATTAATTTATTATACTTTTCCCCTCTCCCTGTTTCTAATCAACAAAAAGAAATCAAGAGTGATTATTAATTTAAGAAAGGTTTTGTAGAGGTTAAAGAACATTAAAGCATTTGGAAAGGCGATCGCCAATGGGGTCTTAGCATTGATTTATTGGATATATTCTGAATCTAGGGTTTCAATTTTCTTTCCCTTTCTTTTAAAGAAATTTTGCAGTTTCTGTTGAGTTAGAATACAACGGCTATACAAAAGCAAATCTTTATTTAGATGCAAAGATACACTCAAGTACACAAGAAAACTCTTAAGGACACCTCACTTTTGGAATCATAGCACTTGTCTCCACTCTTGATTGTTGTGTCTTGTGTATCTTCCAAATGAAGTCACTTCCCTTTATATAGTCATCCACTACCTCAATGGATGGCTAGAAACATTTTAATCCAAGGGCTATTATTAACCCTCTAGAATATTCTAGCATATACTCATGCTTTCCAATATTCTAGAACTCTCTAAACTATTCTAGTATATAATAGCATTTTCTATACTTCTATAATATTCTGGAACCTTCCAGATTTCTCTAGATTTCTACAAGCTTCTCTAACGTTTCGGAAACTTCTAGGTTATTCTAGAATCTTCCGAATTTTTTAAGTCTTTTCAAAATCTTCTAGATCTTTCCGGAGTATTCTAGATTCATGTAGAAACTTCTAGAATATGCTAAAGAGAAGATTCTAGAGAGTGAGGAGAGTTAGTGATGACTCTCAAGAGTTTCATGTTCATGCTATGTTTTGATTAATTTTTTTATTCAGGTCAACCTTTTTTAATTCAACCTAATGATGATGATATGTAACATTTTCAATATATATATGCATATGATTTTGCTATTTATATTACATGGTTGAGTTCTTCACTGTGGTTTTGTTGAGGTTATTGTAAGTTCTTGATTTGGTTGTGATGAAAACACTCCAAACATTGTTTTTTCCTTTTCTTGAACTTTCCTAATTATTATTTGATTGTTCTTCCTTTACAAACATCAAACTTCCATATCATTTTCCTCTTCCTTCTTTTTTTAATAATACATGCATATGCCACTTCAAAAACAAAAACCAAAACCCACAATCTGGGCCGAGCTCGAGGATGGGCCGTGTTAAGCCACCCCAAATATGAGTTAGCCTCTGTCAAAGGGTTGGATTGCTCCCCAATCCATTAAACCGATCCAAAAAAATCCAAAATTTTGTATTATAATTTTTTTCCCTCTTTTTGTAAATAAATTATAAAAGTAATAAAAAAAAAAAACTTGAATTTAGGTCTGATTAGGGCTAAGCCTTTCACTAATTTCATAAGCCCACACTTTTAAGTCCACGAGTAGAGTTTAGGTTTCAGGATGGCTTGACCCAAACCTTACCTATTGATCAATCAAAATTTATGAACCTATGCCTTGAGTTTTAGGTTATGTTTGGAACTAAATATTTTAATTTAAAAATTAAAAAGTCATTATCAATTGTTAAATTATTTATTTATTTTTTTTACATGTTTTTTTTATTAAAAAAAAATTAAAAAGTCACTAACAAAATTAATTTCCAAATAAGCTCTTAGTGTTGGACAGACTTGGCCCATTACTAAGGCCGAGTCAAAATCTTTCTTTAGCCAGTGTTTGAATTATGAATTTGGAAAGAAATTTAAAAACAGAAAGGGAAAAAATGTATGAAACTAAGTGAAAAGTTATAATTTATTCATATTTTACCTACATTTTTCCTTTACCTTTTTTAATCTCTCCCTGAATCATTGAAGCAAACATAACCTTAGAGGGAGAGTATTTTAGTAAATATAAACTTAAATATTTTCATCAACTTCCATAAACCTTAGAGGGAGGGTATTTTAGTAAATATAAACTTAAATATTTTCATCAACTTCCATAACCGTTCCTTGGATCTAGGACAAGATCCGAGTGGCCTGCCGGAATAACCGTTTTGCGTGCCCTTGAGTCCTTCAATTCCCCTACAGTTTCTTCACAGGTAAGAAAAAGAAAAAAAAAAACCAACAAATTGCTTTCACAATTACAATTTCGAATCAAACAACATAGAAAATCAAATCATCAATTTTATTAAATCTCTTAAACCCACCTCGATTAAATTCTTATAATTTGTCCCTCTCTCGGTTTCTGATCAACAAAAAGAAATCAAGAGTGATTCTCATACATGTATTTTTATTTTATTCCAGATTTTTTGAATTTACTTCCATTGATTGGAACACAGGCTTGATTTGTCATAAGAATACACGTGCACACCTGTAAATTTATTTACGTTTTTTTTTTTTCTACCTTGCACACCTGATTTTTTTTTTTTTTTTTTTTTGAACTGTGAGGCATTTTAACATGATCCGAAATGTTCTATCTAAAAAAATAAAAAAATATGATCCGAAATGTTTAAAAAAATGAAAGAGGGAAGAGTATTGTATCTATTTTATCTATGTTAGTGTGGTACCAACAAATACACAGAAAACACACAAACACCAAAGCTGACAAAACCAGCAGCAGAGGAACAGAAGCAGCAGTAGGGCTTGCAACAATAGATACAAAGACAGCAGGGGAACCTTATGCTAATAAGACCCATTCACCAGTGTAACCCATTCACCACCAATGTACCAGATCATCCCAGGTCACCTAAAATCCACCCAGAACACCAAAACAGCAGCCACTACAAACCAGAACACATCAGATACAGACCAAAAATAGCCCTCAGATTATAGCAGACCCAAAAACAGCCCTCAGATTAAAGCAGACCATACAGACCAGATGAAACAGTCCAGGAACCACACCAACAGGCAGCCCTCAGCTACATGGAACAAGACTCTTACTGGTATTCTATCATTAAAAATAAGTACAGGCTTCAAGCCAACAGGTGGGATTCTAAAGTGATGAACTAGAAAAATTCATGTGCTCCTTGGCAATGCATTTCTCAATTGTTGGATTTGTTCGAAATAGTAGTTTTGGGTGGTTCATTTGGACCAGGGATGATTTTTTAATATCATTTGTTACCTCAACTTTATTGTTTGTCTCGTGTTCAGAATGTTTACATTCCTACTATTGATCTTATTATGAGCCAAAGACCAAACAAAAATTGTGAGTTTAAGAGGCACATATGCATCCAAAATTGTTATGAGGCTTAAAAAGTCGTACATTAGGATCATCAATGATTCTATCAAAGAAAGATTTACAAGAAAAAGACCCAAAGAACGGATATTCTTCACTCTCTAATTAACACAACAGTCCTCTAGGAAACACCATCAAGTAAAAGTAACAACGAAGTCAACTCATTAACCTTCTGATCATTAGGATTTCTGAAAAGATGAAAATTCTAAACAATAGGAACACATCAAAGACTAACATTGATCAGTGAAAGTAAAATTTACCAATCAGGACAGCCTCTTCAACTAGACAATTGTTACAAAAATTTTATTCAAGGATATCGCTGACCAATGATTTGCAGGTTACATGGCCAACATTAGTTTATGAAATTCAGGACATAAACATTGAAAGTTTATGACATAAACAAAAAACAAAAAACTAATAATATTATGTCTGACCTATTTCATATACTAAAAACATTCAAATTGCTGACCAATGATTTGCAGGTCCTGATTCATAAACTAATTTTATCTCTATGTCCTGATTGCTGATCATTGAAAGTAAAATTCATAAACTAAACATTATCTATATTCAAGGGAACAGGGTAACACCACCTCAAAATTTCACAGAAATTATTCTCAAAACCCAAATAAAACACATAAACATAACCTGCAAATCAAAGAACTGATATAAGGAAAACAAACCCAATTTGATCTTTCCCAAAACCCATCAAATTGGCGTCTTAAGATAATTGAATTTAGCACCAAAAAAAAAATTTAAACCAATTAAAATCAGCAATGTTTTCACATACATGAATCTAAACAACTGTGGCAACAACATACAAGACTACCAATCTCAGATACATACATGTGAAAAACAAAGCAAAGAACATACAGAGAATGAACACAGATAGGGGTTTCAATTTTGGGTTTCGCAGATATGGGAGGGGAAGAGTTGAAGATAGAGAGAGAGTGAGAGAGAGAGAGGGTTTATGAGTTGCATAGAAGGAGAAGACAGAGAGATAGAAGGATCCATACCTTGAGGAAGAGGTCAGATGGAGGGAGTTGCAGACAGCGCTGAAGGAGAAGATCGATTTCGCGCTGAAGGAGCAGATCGATTTCGCGGGAGAGACGTGTTTGGAGAAGGAGCAGATCGATTTCGCGGGAGAGACGTGTTTGGAGAGCCTTCAATCACTCTCCAATTGAAGCCAGCGGAGAAGGGACGAGGGAAAATAGGGGGCCATTTAGCCAGCCCATTGGAGTGACAATATTAGGGTAATATTAGCTAAAATAGCTCAATATACCTCTTTTCTTGGAGTTGCTCTTAGAGAACATTAAAGCATCTAGAAAGGCGCCAGTAATTTCCCGGTTGTGGTGAGTTTAATGAGGTCTTAGGATTCATTTAGTATTAGGTTTATTCTAAAATTAGGGTTTCAATTTTTTTTTCTTTTTTTTTAAGAATTTTTTCAGTTTCATGTTCATGTTATGTTTTGAATAATTTTTTGATTTGGGTCAACCTTTTTTTCCTTTTCTTTTTAAGAATTTTTGTAGTTTCATGTTCATGTTCATGTTATGTTTTGAATAATTTTTTATTTGGGTTAACCTTTTTTAATTCAACCAAACGATAATGATATGTAACATTTTCAATAGATGTATATCCATATGATTTTGCTATTTATATTACATGGTTGAGTTCTTCATTGTGGTTTTGTTCAGGTTATTGTAAATTCTTGATTTGGGTTGTGATGAAATTGCTCCAAACATTGTTTTTTCCTTTTTTTTTTTTTTCTTGAACTTTCCTAATTATTATTTGATTGTTCTTCCTTTACAAACATCAAACTTCTGTATCATTTTCCTCTTTCTTTCTTTTTTTTCTCCTTTTCAAATGCATGATTTCTTTGTGTGTTTTATTTTTTTCCATTTTTTTTTTTTTCAAGGAAGAAGATTACCTGCCATGGCGAGGGCAATTATGGTAACACACATTGCGATAATGACATTGATGATGATCCAAGCCAAAGCATGGGACACAAATCATGTATTTGATCCTTGTTTAGATGCAAAAGTTCAAAGACATGATGGTTTTACCTTCGGTCTTGCTTTCTCGACAAAAGAGTCCTTCATTTTTAACGAGACTCAGCTTTCACCTTGTGATCGCCGTCTTCTCCTTGCTGGCAGCACTGCTCAACTTGCCATGTTCAGGCCTAAGGTGGATGAGATTTCTCTCCTAACCCTCAATGGCACCCAATTCAATCCGGTATGTACTTGTTATCGCCTAAATTTCTGAGTTTGTTGATGATTTTATCTCCATAATTTAGAAAACTTGTCTGGTTGCAAGACAATATACTTGAAAAAATTTCAACAAATTTCCCAGACTTGATTGAACTAGTCTTTGTTGAAGTTTTTCTATGATCTTTTTTCTATTTTTTAACAGTTGTGCTAAGAACACATAAATTTTTTAAATTATTATTTTGAAAAAAATTATGTTTCCAATAAAGTTCAAATTGCTTTAATGTTGGATGATTTTATCTCTAGAAATGAAAATTTTTGTTTGGCTGCCATGATAATCTCCATGAATTTCATGAACTAGTCATCTTTTAATTATTTGTTCTGTGTTTCTAATAAAGTTCGAATCATTTTAATGAATTGAAAGAAAATGTAATTAATTTCTTTTGTGATTTTTATGAATATATATATATATGTAGAATATGGCGGGTGGGTATATGGTGGCGTTTGCAGGGCGGCAATATGCAGCAAGATCAGTGCCCATCTTCGTTGCAGATATGACAAACACAGTAACTAGCTTTACTCTGGTAAGACCAATTCAGTCAAATCTGATGTGTAAGCAAGTTACAACAAATCTACCTCCAAGATACAATCAAGCCATGTCTTAATAATTGTTGTCCGACTATGTTATGCACAAATGAATTTAAACCTAATGGTCATAACTCTTTGGTTTCAAACTCAATAGTCATACCTCTCTCTTAATTCAGACAACAATAACAATATTCAACTTTTCAAAATAATCAAAAAACATATATATACAAATATATTCTAATAATGCTTTAACACGCCCTGACGGCCATGCTTGATTTGCCAAGCCACCTAATAGTTTTTGTATACTACAGTATCGAAGTTAGTTATTTATGTTGTTCCATGACAGGTGCTTGAATTCCAAAAGGGCACTCTTCAAAACTTGTATTGGAAGAAGTTTGGGTGTGCCACATGCACTGGGAAGTCTGTAGTTTGCCTAAACCATACAGACTGTGCAATTCCAACTTCAAACTGCAAAGGCAGTGGTAGTGCTGTTGACTGCAACCTAGGCATACAGTTGGCTTTCTCAGGCACCGACAAGAACGAGGAGGTCCTCAATTCTTGGTATGAGGTTGCTAATCTCCGCCAATACTCTCTCGTTGCCCTGTACTCCAATCTACGCGAAACTCTCACCGTCCCATTTAGCAACCCTTTTTAAGTTTCAATGTGTGATTTGTTCATACACTACGATATTGCTTGCCTTCATGTAAGAACAAATGCAGTTTTGATAAATTTGAGGGATCAGTTTTATGTATGCTTTGTTAAGCATGTGTTACATAAAATTTGGCACTGATTTGCATAACTTTCACCACGTTCAATAGGTCTCTTTGTTAGAACTGTTAATCGTTGATCTCCAATAAAAGTTTATTTGCTGATATCCAATAAAAAGATTATGCTCGTGCATAATGAACTTCTACAAATAGGATATTTCGCCTCAACTTTCAAAAACCCATTCCATGTAATAGTGTATAAAAGAATAATGTTGTACAAATCAACAAAGTTCACAAACTTTTTATAATCACATCAGTTGTTCCCGTCACATAATTCAAAAACACAACAACAAAGTATGTTAAAAAAAAAAAACAAAACAAAAAACAAAACAAAGTAAAGAAGGATATTGCAGTAAAAGTAAACAGATGGAGTTAATCAACACCAACCCATTCATGGAACCCTGGCAGCTGCTGTGTGGTTCTCAAGCCATGTGAAAGCCATAGGTCAGGTGTTCAAGGGTTGGTGGCAGCAGATATTGGTTACAGAAACTAAAGAGGTATTACTTAATATCTCGATTTTTTGAAATGTCATAAATAAAAGCAATCCAACATTTTTATTTCTTTTTTTCAAAAAAAGAAAAATTACTGACATGGGGAACAAATAGAGAGACCAACACTGGTTTTATTCAGCAACCATAAAAAAAAAACAATACAAAATTCCCATCAAAGGGTGTGTTGTTCAAGTAAATCAGTATTTTCAGCCAGAGGACTTCCTATACAAATTCTAATTGTCCATTCCTGTGCAGTTAGAAGAGAGGGATACAGAAAAACTATTTCCCGCATCCTAGAAGCAATTTTTGTACATTTATCAGAATCCCATTTCTCCCTTCCTCGAGGAAAAGAATATCACCACAAAGCAGTCAAAGGGCAATGAATATCCGAGTCAAGTTATCTTGGCAATCTTGGACGAATGCATCTTTTGACCCTCGGGGTTATCGGGAAATTAACTATCCACACTCGGAACGAATGATGAATAAGTGTGAAGAAAAATGGAAACTCTTGCTATTCGGGTTGGGTGTGCATCTTCTGATGAATATCCAGCACAAGGTCCCGCAGCTCAGGGAAAACTGAAACGAGTACCAGTTCAAGTATTCCATATGCTAGTTGCTTCAAACAGATTGTAGACTGCAAATTCACAGTAAGCCAGCCGATACTTCATGGTCACAAATATCATTTGAATGATGAAAATAAATCACAGGGATTAGAGAAGGGTTTTACCTGAAGGAAATAATATATATCTCCTGCGGTGCGGTGATACTGCTTATGCCCAATCAAGCTGACGAGAGCAGTTGGAGCTCCATCTGAGGAAGAACGAGGTAGGTTGTTAATTGTGTTCCTGTCCAGGACCCTTGTATCCAATTCACACAAGAATCTAGAAAACATGATGACCAGTAAAATTAAACTAAAAAAGTGGCATAAGATCCTAATTATTTGCAGAAAATCTGCTACCAAGATCCATGCCAATGTCGCTTGAGAAAGTCACCTACTACTTTTTTTTTTTTTTTAAATCTTTTTAGGTGATCTCATGTAATCTTTATAAAAAAAGAAAAAAGAAAAAAAAAAGAAGATATGCACCATTCTATTCCATATTTTGGTTAAAAAGCCCAACACATTAAATCCATTAATTTATTAAACATCATGAAATTTAAATCAAGCCAACACAAAGACGGGTTGAAACATCCAAGTCACTGTAACATTGAGACATCAACATTATTACAGTATAATTCATAAATGAGGTAGTTTGCTGAGGCTATTGTAATAAACAAATGCCAAAAAGATGTACGTACATATGTATATGTATATATAATATGGACGAAAGGGAAGTGGAACATTTCTGTGACTTGCTTCTACTAACCCAAAAGTGACATTTTTTATTTATTTATTACAAGCACAGATAAACCAAGCACATGACAGTCAGAGACCAAGGTTTTCAGAACATAATGTATGGGCAGCCTATATCCTTTCTTTTTTCTTTCTTTTTTTTTTCAGTCGAAAGGAAATAGATAGGCACCCTATATCATATGTGGTATACCATACATTTATACAAAAATAGGCAAACATTAATCAGTGCCTAGCAAACAGAGAAAAACCATCCCAAACATAAAAGAATACATACTTATCAAAGATGTACCAAGACCAAAACGAAAAGGAAAAGATAGGGAAGAGAAAAAGAAGGAAAAACTTACTGAAGATCATTTTCTTGATATCACTAGCTCTATGAGCAGCCTCAAGCTGCTGCTCAAAAGAACCAAGTTTAGAGGCCCTACTCCTTGTAGTTTGAAAAGATCGCTGATGAGGTTCACAATCATCTATTTCAGTATGACTATTTAATCTCAGAAAGAATGTGCCATCGGGCCAAAGAACCTGACAAAGAAATCCATTATTAGAAGAAGCAAAATATTTGACGTTGATTCTTTGTCCATTCTTGCACTTTCACAATCAACTGCACCAAAGGTACTAACATAACAAAACACAGAAAAGTACATGCCAAACTTGAGAAATGATAATAGGATATGACCCATGCAAGTCATTGTAATTTCTGTGAAGTGTGAACAAAAGTGAATTCACATTTCTTTTTTTGGGAAGAAATGCCACTACAAGCTAGGTTGGTTAAAATAAAATGAAGTCTGCAATGTTGATTGGAGATAAATAAGAAAAAGGCATTACAGTGCACACAAAAGGAATTTTATCCTGATTATGCATAGGGTGGTAAATTAGCCAAATTTATCCTTAATTTGGATGCGAGCAAAAAGGAGACTACATATCTACACAAACAAGTACAACTCAAAAGTTAATATGAACTGTAAAAGACACCGTGCTATTGCATACAAGGTCTTAGGTTTCAACCATTGTTTAAATACGTTCATATAACACTGGATGAAACTCACATTCAATTGAAAACAACCACCACCACCAACCAAACCAAACAAAACAAGAAGTGAAGAAATCAAAGTGATGGGTTAATAGACTCCAACATACCAAAAGTCATCCCAAAGTTCAATCAATAAATAGACAGGTAAGAGTTTTAGGCCCAAATTGGGTTCTGGATGACCCTCAAGAAGGCTCAGCTTGAACTGACCTTGGCACTGCCAATCTACGCCCCTAGTGACAAAAATGCCTGGGATGAAATATGTTCATCCAAAAGAAACAGACAGACACAAGTTTGATGCAACAGATGTCAAAAACCAAGATAAAACAGATTATAGAATGCGATCTTTGGTGTTGCCATATTCATTTAAAGCTTGGAATATAATGAAATTTCGCACAGCACCATAAATCAGATCTTGCCTCACCAATTAAACGATTTCAGTAAAATAAAGATGTTAAAAAAATTGATCAGTCCTTACATCTTGGACCCACCGAATCCCTTGAGCAGTAACATCATCTCTCCGGAGCCGCTGAATTTGCCCCAGGAGCCAGTCATCAATAGCGTCTTCCATCATTAACTGCAATATTTGCTTTGATATCCAGAAGACCTGTCTTCTGCACATTTAAATAAAAATAAAAAAATCTTTGAGGCTGGATGCTGATGAAACATGTTAAAGCATGATCACATGATCACATTTCACATAATCTTCCACACAGATCAATCAATCCACCTTGCTCAAATCATAAGGGACAAAACAGGTTGAAACTAATGGGAACCTCTATGCCATGATTGTGTGACATCTGGCTTTGAGCATTGAGCCAAAAAATATATATATACATATATTAAAAACCACTCTGCTAGGGGGTGTCTACTGCAAGAAAATAAGTTTCAAATCTAGGCCTCCACTTGTGAAGATTGAGCAACAAAATATACAGCAACAAATTTCTGTTCTAACAAAATAAAAAGCAGCATCACACACCAGATATAAAATTTTAAATATAAATAAATAAATAAAAACACTAACAATGAATTATGATAATTCCCAAGCAATTTTTGATTTTCAAATTATGAAGAAAACATGCAAGTAATCATGTAAGGAAAAGTCTAGCTTACCTTAGCCAGCCTTTTCTCTTTAGCTGAAACATCTATCAAATAAATTCAACACAGGTAAGTTTACATTAGGTGGTGTCCACTGCAAGGAAATAAGCACCAACAGAAGTTTAGACAACACGAAAGTACTGGCATCCAAGAACTAAGTAAGCAACCCAAACAAAATATTTTTCTATAAACAGGTTGATTACAGTTTCTTTCCTTTCATATACCTAAGAGCCCACCTTCGCAATAGCTGACATATGACAAGAACAATGAAGACTCACCGACAAGCTATTTTTACCACAATTGATATAGGGTGCCAGTAAAAGTTTTAGGGTGACAATAGTAGGTTTTCGTTGTTATTAAAGGCTTCTAAAGGTATGGGGCTTTAGAGCTTTCCACCATTGTGTAAAAGAGGTAAGGGTTAGGAGCTTAAAATAGATGAGAAAAAACTAAAATTTTGGAGGCTGTTATGGGCTGTGAACAACGCCCAAGAGTGGTACATGTGAACAATAATAGGAGCTTGTATTCAGTTATTAACTTACTTTTGTCTGATATGGATGGATAAAAAGATAGGTTATCAAGCTTAAGAACATATGATTTCCAGGGTAAAAGGCCTAAACAGTGCAAAAAATCAAAGATGAAAAGAAGTAGAAGAATAAGCCCAGTAACACGCCCAATCTACATTATGCCTTACTTAATGTTACAATTGTATCATACAATCCCAATTAGGCTTCAAAGCTGAGAAAAAAGTATATAAAACTTGGTTCATCTACGTAATTCTAACTCTAATAAGAGTTGGAAACCCTCGGTCGATTGGTAACCCATAAAAACCTATTAAATACCCATGATATAGATCCCAAAATCAATAGGTTCTCCTGCAAGCTAAAAGCTTACTTCTACTAATTCCATTCTCATCTTCGTTTTGTCTATAGTGGCATCCCTAATCAATTCTTGTGTAGAAAAATACTGTTTAAGAACTGATGAACATTCTATTTCAGAAACCAAAGTAGGCCACTCCCAGATAGAAATTCTCTTCCATCTTCATCAGCATCCACTGCCCAGATAAAACTGCCAAAGGGCACCCCTATTTTAGCCATTGAGCTAAATAAAATAAAAAAAAACTGTTTATTCTCCTTTGAGGAATCTCCCGGAACTATTAACTGTTCATA